CCCAAGTCCTTCCCGAAACCACCGAAGCTGCTGAGGGATAGATCTATCTGCACATTTTGCCACTCTTATTTTTTTTTTAATATTTTTAATTGATTTTTTACAGAGAAGAAAGGAGAGGGATAGAGAGTTAGAAACATCAACGAGAATCATCGATCAGCTGCCTCTTGCACACCTCCTACTGGGGACATGCCCGCAACCCAGGTACATACATGCCTTTGACCTGGAATCGAACCCAGGACCTTTCAGTCCGCAGGCTGATGCTCAATCCACGGAGCCAAACCGGTTTCGGCAATTTTGTCACTCTTGATTGCCCTCCCTTCCTTATGTCCCACCCTTAACGGCAAAGAGAGTGCAAGGACAGCCAGCCGCCCCTGCTAGGATCTCCAAAACTTACCGTATTTTTCGGACCATAAGACGCACTTTTTTTCCCCCAGAAGTGGGGGGAAAAAGTCCCTGCGTCTTATGGTCCAAATATAGCCTACACATATACTTTAAAAAAAATTTTTTTTACTTGCCCGGCTCTGTGTGGTCTCTGTGTGCTTGCCCGGCTCTAAAATGGTTCTAAATGCTGCTGTTTACTTTACAGGGTTGATTACATGTGTTTATGACTGTGATGTTGGGTTTTAATGCACATAAAATATTTTAGGACACTATTTGTTTCAGAATCTTTTTTTCTTCATTTCCCTTCTCTAAAAACTGGTGCGTCGTCTTATGGTCCGGTGCGTCTTATGGTCCGAAAAATACGGTGTGTTGCTTACACCTGAGCCCACAACCCTTTCCTTCTCATGTATGGTCCTCTTTGTTTTTCTCTCGCACAGTCCCACCCTTTCATTATGACCTGGCCTTGCCAGCCGCCCCACTGGTGGTGGGACTACAAACGACCAAGGTTGATGACTAAAGCTTTCCTGCTCCCCACCCAACTCTAAGCCCTACTACTTATCTTCCCCAGCAGGTTTTGGGAGCTGTGCAGTGTACACTCAGGCTTCCTGGTGACTAAACTGAAAACCGCAGCCATATTTTAGGAGCCTGAGAAGCTGACTCTTCCTATGATGTGAAGTTTCTATTATTTTGTATATTTTTAAAATTTATCATGAGTGAGCTTAAAACTTTTGTAAAAAAAAAATTCTATAATATAAACTTATATACAGTTTATATAATCTGAACACATAATACAATTTAATTTGTTATTAAGTTCATTTAGAATTACTCACTAATGATATATATGTTGCTTTTCCATATATCACTATGTTTAAGTAACTTCTCTTCTGAAAACCTTTAGACTAGCCCTTTGAAAACAGGAGAGACTAACTCCTTTAATTTCCCAGATCAGAATAATTTGCTGAGCTCACACAATACTTTACATACACACAGCACTAAAAATGTTATAGTAATTTCTGGGCATATTTCTTTCATGCCCATTGATTTCAATTTTAAGTATTTTCATCATATCAATGATCAATCTGATGAAAGCACCATAAAAATATAAAATGTCATGACTCTAGTTATCTGAAAAAGAAAAAGTCAAACAGCTAACCAAATCTATCCCCACTCTTTATAAATTTAAATATGTCAAATTGTTGTATTTTGAAATAATGTTGGACATATATAAAAAGTTGCAAAATATAGTACAAATATTTTTAGTACACACTTTACCTGCCTTCCACAGCACAGCATAACCACAGACTTACCAAAACTAAGAAATTAAACATTGGTACAATACTACTAACTAAATCCTACTGTTTCCCAACAAACGTCCTTAAAAGAATAATTTGAAAAATGTATTTCTCAACAAGAGTCCCAAATTCATAGTTATGTTAAGATTTAATCTATTCCAAATACTTACAATAGTGAAACAAAGGGCCCAATCTGTCTGTATTTCTATTTCTGCAAAATTTGCTTACCAGAACTTAGCACACCAGTCCCATTATAATGCAAAACTAGGCATTTTGTTATATAATATATGTTATAACTTGGCTCTTTGAAAAACTGGATGAAAGAGGAATAACTCGCCAGCTGTTTGGCTTTCACTATGGAAAAGAATTTCAAGCAAAAGTAAAATGATTTAACTTTCTTCCTCACAGCTTACTTGTATTTTTTTTTACATAAGTTAATTTTAGTGATCATTAAAAGTCTAGAAGGCAGAAAGTGAGCCTCCAATATTTTGCCTAACAAATTAAAAATTACCAAAATAATAATTTTTAAATGGAAATGTTTACAAGTAGATGAAGTCATCATGGACCAAAAACCTCTTTTCTTTCTTTCTTTTTTTTTTTCTTCTTTTCTTTTTCCTTGCAATAAGTTTAGCACTTTATTTCTGATGTCTGGCATGCAAATTACATGTAGTAGACTTCCAGAAATGATTAATTAACAATTATATAAAATCCAAACCCATTCCATAAGAGGATATGAGAATGAGGGGTACTGCATAAGGGGAGCAGCCAAGTGCCTGTGTATAAATCTTAGTTACATAAAAACACCTCACTGATTACATAGAACCTCGTAAGTCAATCCTTTGGGGGGCCTAGAGGACCTCTCAGGAACACGTTCCTTTCATAGGAGGAAAAATGCAAGCCAGTACTAACAATCACTTCTCTCCCACCCTTTCGTGTCAGTCAATTCAAGTATGGCTTGTTTGTTTGCAAATGATCAGGATTGGTAACTTATTCAACAAATAACATGTTAAGTCTAAGGCCCTAAGTGTTTTATGGAGAACCAAAGGGAAAATAATTGACTTGGCCCTCAACAAGCTTACATTCTAGCTTCTCTATCTTTAAAATTGATTCCATGTCAGGTGAAAAGTAGCCACATTAATACAATTTCCAAAAGAATCATAAAAAGAAATTGCCATGTCTCTCATAATATCATAAGTAACTTTCTCAACATACATGACTTTTCCAATGGAGGAATGTGCTGCAACATAACTGAACCTTGGGCACACAAAACTTGCCAACTTCAAATTTTTAAAATGTCAATATTTCTAACCAATCTCTCAGATACTGTCCTTCATTTCCCCTTTACCCATGAATATATTAAGATAACTCTGGCTTTCCAAATATAGAGAAAATACACCTTAAGTCATGGTATGGTAAGTCAGACAAATAGAATGATATATTTCCTCTGAGAGGAAAAAAAAAATCTGGCTAAATTTTAGTAAATATCTGTTTCGGTTTGACTGATAATTTAAAGCAGCAATAATACAGACACAGGTCAGTACTACCCAAGCTGAAAGACTTTTTAATGATGAGGAACTAAATTATGTACATAAGCTAGATAAATATCTGTTTCCAAACTCTTGCACGCAACTTAAAAATCCATCCAAATGCTATATGTCACAGCTTAACTTGAAACAGATCTCAGGCAGGGGAGTTATAGATCTAAGGTCCTCACACTTGCCTTCTAATACCAAGGAGTTGTAAAGCTCTAAAACTGGCCAATCTGCTCCCTGTCTCACTAATAAAGAAAGCAGGCCAAAATCTCCATCAATCTTATATCTGACATCAGTGTGTCATCTTGTTAAACCCTCTGGAGCAAGTGCAATTACCAGGCAGCTAAGAAAGTATTAAAGTTAGGGAAAGGGTGTTTCTCTACTGAAGTTGGTTTGGTTTTCACAGCACTGAGCCCATCAGGTAGGGAACTACAAGCTCAGCTTCTCCTCTGCCACCAGCTGTGGTCAAGGGTCCTGCAGCTCAAAACATACATGTTGTGCCCAAATATGCCTCGGATGCCAAGGTGTAAAAATGTACATCTCCACTGGCCGGGGAGCCAAATGTCATTTTCAGTGTTCAAAATGTGCGTTTACTACTAGTGAAAATCTCCATCAAATTACCAAAAAAAAAAAAAAAAATCCAACTTATTCATTCCTCCAGAATGGAAACCTACTTCGCAACCCAAGTTTAAGGCCAAACAGCGGGCTTTTTACGAAAAAAAAAAAAAAAGCAAGATGCCTAGTGCCACGACTGTATCTGGACCTTAATGAAACTAACACACATGAGAAATAAAGTGTGAAATGTGCAAGAGTTTGCTGCCCATCCAGGCGTGTGCTGCTCCAGGTACTACTGGCGATACAGAGGTAACCCTGTAACACTGACCCCCGACTCAGAACACTCCTCGCTTGCAAGCAGGCACACGTGTACACACACACACACACACACACACACACACACTCACATGCACTGCCAGTCCCTTCCCTGCCCACCTGGGACCCCCGGGGCGGCGCGGCGCGGCTGGGCTAACACGTTGCCACTGGCCAGAGGTGCTCTGCTGGGGATCCAGGGTAGGAAAGTGGAGCTGGAGGCCTGGGGTCCCGGCCATTCCCTCCCTCCTGGCCGCTGAGTCTCCCTCTGGCACCGAGGAGGAATGCCCGCTTTGGCTTTCCGGAGCTGCCACGCGCCTGCCTGAGGATCCCTGGCCACCACCGGGAGGACCGGCCGGGGCGGCGGCAGGAGCGGCGGGGCGCAGGGCGGCCGTCCCGGTCCCCGGAGCTGCAGCCAGACGGACGGGACGATCGCCGCGGGCGCAGCCCAGCCCCGGAGATCCCGCCCGGCCGCCGCCGCCGCTGCTGCTCCGGGTCCGCGGCACCGCGCAGCGCCCACGCCCGGCGGCTGGCGGCTGCAGCTCCCAACTTCAGGCAAAGTTTTCCGCCGTTCGTTCCTCCTGGAACCGGCCGGCCGGGGACTCGGAGGGATGGCCGTCCGCCCGGATCATCGCGAGCCCAGGCAGTGGAGCAGCGGAGCGGGGGCCAAGAAGGGGGTCCTGGCTCAGGGGCTGGTGCTCCCGGCCAGTCCGCTCCGCCAGCCCGAGTACTAGGTGCCCGCCCTCCCCCCAAAGGCCCCTCTCCCACCCGGTGCCGGCTAACGGGCAGGATCGGTGCCCTGCTCGCCGCACCCCCCCCTCCCCGGACGCTTCGATCGCCTAAAACTGTCCCACCCGGAGCTGCCCGCGTCCCGGGCTCCCGCTCAGGCCCGCCAGCCCCGGGCGATGGCTAGAGCGGCCCCGCTTACCTGAAAACGCCTCCCCGGCGGCAGTCAGCAAAAGTCCGGCCAAAGTCGCCAGGCCAATCCCAAGTCTCATGGTGCAGAGCGCGCGCCGGGCCGCTCCGGGGCGGCGGCGGAGGGTGGGCGCGCTGGGGAGGAGGATGGTCGGTCGGGGATCTCTGGGTTCCAGGCGGCGGCGAGAAAGAGAACCGGGCTCCCCAAAGTGCCAACCGCTGCACAAGTCCGAACTCCAGCGGCTCCCAGGGCCAGGGGACAGGGTCCTGGTCCTCCGGCCGGGCCGCTGACCCCACGAGGCTTCTGGTGCTGCTGCAAGAGGGAAGCGGAGGGCGCGTCCGCCGAGCCCAAATCCGCCCTCCGTTCCGGCGGGTGCCGCCGCCGCTGTCCTTCCCCTGCTTGGGTCCGAGCCGCCGGCCGTGGCCGTGGCCGTGGCCGTGGCCGCGCGCGTCCCGCAGGCTGCCTGCCTCTCCTCCGCCCGCCCGGCAGCCCCGAGAGCCCAGCCCCCGGGAGGCGGCGCGCCAGCAGCAGAGCCCGCGCCGGCTCCGCGCGGGGCGCTTGCTCCCGGACTGACTGGCGGTGCCCCGCAGGCCGGCTGGAGGGAGCGCCCACGTCACGGCCGCCAACGCCGCCGCCGCGCTCCGCTAGGGGGCGTGAGCGCCTCCCCGCCGGCCCGCGCTGGGCGGCAGCGGCGCCTCCGGGGGGAGCGCGGCCGGGGGCTGGGGCGGCCGCCGCCGCTGCTGCCACCGCCGCGGGGATGCGGCGCTCCCGGGGCGCAGAGGAAGGGCGCGGAGGCTTTCCACCCGGCCCCAGGCGCGGCTACCGCTCCTGGCTGGGCAGGCGGGGAGCTGCGCCTCGGCCAGAAGTTTGTCCCTGGCCCGGAGCCGCTAGGAGTTTGTTGGGAGTGGCGATGGGACCGGCGGCCTGCGGCCCCGCGACCGGGCGGGGGAGCTTCGAACCGGCGGCGGGCATCGGTGTCGCCGAGCAGGGCCAGCTTCACCCCCTCTGCAGGGCCCGCTCTCCCCTGAGGCTGCGGGAAAGCCGAGCCCGGAGGTCGGGGAGGCTTCGAAGCGCCCCTGGCTGCTTTTCGCCCGGGGCAGAGCGAAGTTGGCCGGCGCCAGGGAAGGAGCGGGACCGGCGAGCGCCTGGACGCCGTGGCGCTCCAGCTCGCCCGCGGGCTCCGCGGACCGACGGGCTGCTGTCCCCAGTCCAGCGCCCGCGAGGCAGGAGGCACCTGCTGCTTCCCTGTGCCTCCTCCATCCCCAGCGGGCCGGAGCGGGCCGGGCAGGGCACGCGTGGAGAGCGGCGTCTCACCGAAAAGAGGGTTTGGACATAGCCAGTGATTTCTGTATCTAGTGCAGAGTGTTGAGAAAAAGGGAGAGGGGAGGTGTGGGTAATAAATAATGTCTTGAAATATTTCATTTAACATTTGGGGTATGGGATGATTATAAGAAGTGGATAAAAAAAAAAAAAGCTTCAGATGTTTCAGGAAAAAAGCTTCAGATGTTTCAGAAGAGTTCCACTTTGTAAAATTACCAAAAACAAATAACTCCAAAACTCCCATCTCCCTGGGGATATGCATAATAAGCCAGCACTAAGCAGCTATAGATGCCGGGCCTACCTGAACACAATATAAGGCCTGGGGAGAGGTTAAATTACAAACCAAGGTAACCAGGAGTAACACCATGTTCTAGCACAGGCAATGGCATGGGCAGGAAGGCAAACCCATGATACAGATGTGCCCAGGGCTTCTCTGCACGGCCTTCCCCTAGTGTTTATACAGGTTCCTAAAGTGCATTGATCCCACGTTCACCTCCGTCCTGTCTCCAGTGAACCCCAGAACCAACCAGCAAGGATATGCTACCACTGCCACCTCCTGGGCCACATTCAGTTGTTAGACAACTTCGCGTCTGGAGTGCCAACCGCCCCCAGGTCCTCTCTCTTCAGGAATTCCACTTATTAGGTCCTTTTTAGAAGTGTCTTTAAAAGGCTCTACGTTAATAATTTACTTCTTAATATAACTTTACATCATCCTGCCACCTCTCCCAAATATGTACTTGTTGAGCCTTACCTTTAATTAGAAAAATGAACATTTGAAGTATCAAAGAGGAAGGGGAGTCACATGCTCTTAAGGATCAGCAAGTGAGCATGGTCCAATCTGCTACCTGGGTTTTTCATTTAATTGAGGTTGTGTGTGCGCTATGATGGTGGCCAATAACCTTTTTTTTTCTTTTTTTTTCTGAGTGGTCACGTGCTTTCCATTGTAGCTTTTATGCTAGAAGATACATGGAGGATCCAGAGGAGAAGGAAGTCAATCTAGTTAACTTTAATTCTGAGTGACTTCTTTGCATCACGAGAGGAAGTTAATATTAGGGTAGGGTTTCGTTTGCAAAGTATGTTAATTCTTCCAGCCAATAGCTACTAAGGCCATACTATATGCCAGGCAGTGTGCTATGTGCTGGAGGTTGTCTTAGGCTGGTCTCCCCAGAAACAAACTTGGAAGTAAGGATTTAAGGGCAAGTGGGTTTTAGTGAGGAAATAATGCCAGGAAGCAGTATTGAGAGGAATGGGAAACTGAGACAGAGTGGGGAAAAGAAGTCAATATAGGGTGTATTAATGAGCAGATTACCACTGTGGGCAGCGGGGACTCAATCCCCCAGTGACCGCACTGAAAAGGTGTGGAAGAGCCTTAGAAGTGGACCACTCAGAAAAAAGGGAAATGTGTAAGGTGGGGTGCATGGGGAAGGGGGGACTGCAGGGGAGCGTGTAGGAAGTGGCTGCTCCAGTGGAGGAAAAGCTCTGCAGGGACTGTTGCTACCCTGGTAACCTGAAGATACCCTTTCCCTTCCTTCTGCTACCTGAAGCTTAGTGGGAGGGTCTAAATTTCCATCCTCTCTGTCCTCTAACAGTACAGTCTTAAATTGACTCTACCCTTATTAATCTACAATCCCCAGTCACTTTTGCAAACATTGATGTGGTTTTGCCAGCAGCTCCTGCTCTCACAATTCACAACAACTACTGTTTCATTACTCCCTCTTACAAGTAATCCGCCAAGGCGGTGCTGACACCAAATGGAAGGCTTCTATTGAAAATGAATGGAATGGACTTCCTCTAAATGAAAACGAATGTATTGGAATTCCTGTTGGAATCCTTCCAGGGGGACATTTGCTTTAACTTCTTTTTCAGGAGAGGAGATTTTTTATTTTAACCCAACCACATGATACTCCTGGCTCTCAGAGACAGTGTGACATTAGCAGAGTGGCTGGTCAGAGTTGGGGTGATGTCAGGCCAACCCCTGACTTCGGTAGGCTTGGGATATTGGGTACAAATGGAGACCCATCATATGTCTAAATACTACAAGGTTATTAATTAAGCTAACAAATATTACATATCTTCCTACCTTGACACTTGACAAATATAACGAAATTGAAATATAAGAAAACCTATAGTTTTTATATGATAAAAGACAGCAAAATATCAAAGACAACTGGATATAACATTATGAATATCTAGATTTTCTGTTGATAGTCTGTATGGATAAATAATAAAATGAAGACATACATAATGCATTCATTATTATATTCCACAAAATTGATTTTCCCTTTATTTCACTAAAATCACTAATTATAATAAAGATGATCACATAATTTGTGTTCCAATGACAGCTGTGACCTGAAGCTATGCTATTCTGTATGGCATACCCAGTGGCCTTGGCTATATTGCAAGTGCTCAGTGGCCACATGTAACCCATTGCCACTGTATTGGATGGCACAAACATAAAACATTTCCATCATCAGAGGAAGTTCTGCTGGACCAGTGGTCGGCAAACTGCCAAATGCGGCTCTCGAGCTGCGGTTTGCCGCTCAGTTGACTAATGAGTTTGCCAACCACTGGGATAGGGGCTTAATCACAAGGAATAACAACATCCTGTAATTATTGGAATCGAGAGTCTAGGTCAGTGGTCGGCAAACTCATTAGTCAACAGAGCAGCAAACCGCGGCTCGAGAGCTGCATGTGGCTCAGGAGCCGCAGTTTGCCGACAACCGTAGTAGACAACATTGATAAAGGATTTGTATATTCAGATTATTCAAAAGGTGTGTATACATTTTCATAAAAATGTAAATTAAAATTTTAAATTAGAAAATTAAAGTTAATTTTCTATAGTTATTGAAAGCTATTTTCTTCCAAATGGTTCGGTTATCTATTAGAATCAAAATGTAAAGTACAAATTATGATTGTTCATAAAAAGCTTTAAAATTATTAGTTAAAAATGAAAATTTAATCTTGCCTTAATTTTAGTAAAAGGGGAACCTATTAACAAATCTAGCATTCAAAGTTCACCTAGTTGTCAAGGTAACTTATCAGATATCCTGTTTCACATATGTTAAAACTGTTGATCTATTATTTTAACAGTAATATTAATCATTTAATTTTGCAAAATATTCCTTGGTCACCATGTTTGACTACCTGTAAATACTATAGTACAGTGGTCGGCAAACTCTTGCAACTTGCGAACCGCAATTTGCCTCTCTGTTGACTAATGAGTTTGCCGATCACTGGCCTAGATTCTTGAGTCCAGTAATTACAGGCTGTTCTTGCTCCTTGTGATTAAGCCCTATCCCAGTGGTCGGCAAACTCATTAGTCAGCAGAGCGGCAAACCACGGTTCGCAAGCCACATGTGGCTTGAGAGTCACAGTTTGCAGACCACTGCTATAGCAATGTGTGACTTCTAGCAGAACCACAGATTAGAACATGAAGAGAAGCAAGAAAATTGACAGTTGGCACTCCTAGAGTGGAGAGCAGCTATAGCATTTGGACAGGTTCAAGCCTCAGACTAATGAGAGAGCACAGTGCTCTCATGGCAAAGCCATGTGCAAGTCCCAGCTTAAAGGGCAGAGCCCTCTCAGCACAATTACAGCCAAAGGCTATAGTTATGAGTTTGACCTTATGGTCTGAACCTGTGGTCCCACGTGACTGAGTGATATAGGCTGTGGGAGGTGCAGCAAGGAAAACAAAGCTTGGTCTGGTTCATGTAATTGAGTAGATTCGAAGCCCACGAGAACCTTGTAACCACGCCCTGACTTTGCCTCGTGGAATCTGACTATAAAATAAAGCCATGGCACTGTCTCTCCATTGGAGAGCAGCGTCCCATCTAGACACAGCTTTGTTCTCTTGTCTGTGTTTTCTCATTCCTTCACCGCCCCCTCTCAGGCTCACCCATGGCCGTGTCAGCTTGGCACATCCTAGAACAGTAATCATTTGAAAAGACTGTTTAATATCCTTGCTATCTGAGAGGAAGGATTTGGTTTTTAATTAATTTGACTCCTCTCCTAAACTAAGTTTCATTATCCGCACACTGAGAAGGGCCCATATGCCATATCAGCAACAGCACACCCCAATCACTGCTCAGTGCTGTTTCAAAGACAGAAATTATGGTGAAGCATTTTTCTGGGGCCTGCTCAGAGATCATCTGAAGAGTGGATGTTTTGGCCCTAGCCAGTTTGGCTCAGTGGACAAAGCATCGGCCGGTGGACTGAAGGATCCCAGGTTTGATTCTGCACATGCCCAGTTTCAGGCTCGATCCCCAGTGGG